GGAACCAGTAACTGGAACTAATGACATTCAAGGAACACTGCCCTTATAAGTGAGATCTTCATGCTAGAAGGAGCAATGCCAGTATTTCTGTTCCTAGGTAGGGCAGGATTTAAATCTAAATGGGGAGACGTTTAGCCTTCTTCTAGGGTTTTTGCTTTTTTGCTGATATCATTGTTAGTATTGTTATGGAACAGCAGTTGTTTGTTCAGTGCTTTAAGTAATAATATGAGACTTAGACATTAGTGAATGTTTGTTTTCAGCATACAAGTTTAGATGTTTTATGACGTATTTTCTTAATGCAAGAATACAAAATATGAAACATCATCAAAGAAAATAGATCCAGCATACTTTCAGTGATAAGCTGTTATGATTACTTAAAACCCCAATATTTTAGAAGAAAGCAAATATGTAGTCCAGATTGCTGTCAAAATTTGGATAATTTATGTAGGTAATAAAGCACCCAATCCAAAGTTTTTGCATGCAGATAATTAAATGTAGGCAATGGCTATCTGTATTTAGGTAGATAAATAAGAGTGTTCCACTCTATACATGTGTATAACATTGTATAATGTGTGTATATAGTTCAAGAGATATCTATTCTGTAAGGCTCCCTCTTGAAGTTAAAGGAAGTTGCAAATTCTGTAGCTTCTCAGAAAAAATATTCTCCCATTTTTTCATGTGAATCTGGACCAGATTTGTAAAGGCCTTTAACTTCTTGAAGATACACATCAAGATTTAGAGGGCTTCCATAAGAACTGAGATTTACTGAGGAAATAGGGAGGAATGGTTTTTCGTTGAAATCACTATGAAGGAAGAGACTAAATTCTTTTGAAAATATCTTACGTGCCTGTGTTCATATTTATAAACTTAAATATCTATCAAAATTCCATTTAAAAATGTGTCTATGTTCTTCCTTTAACTCATTTTTTATGGCTTGGGTATAAATTAGACACATAAGTGAAAAATGAGTATTTAAAGTTTTAAAAATACTTCAAATTATTTGTTTTCAGTCTCCTATTCACTTTTTCTTGCAATTCTATGTATTCTATACATTCTATTGCAATAACTTTCTTTGCTAATAGTAATAACTTTATTACTGAAAAAACAAAGTTTTGAATTTGTAACAGATGCGTGATTTTTGAATGCATATTCTGAAGTTATATAATTATCATCACAACCTTCATACATTTTCAACTCCTTCTGAAACAACAAGACATTTAGAGCTTGTTGCTGATGTATTTTGGTAATGTAAGGTGATGCCTGTTATTACGCAACTAATTCTGAGCCACTTTTGTGCATTTTAAATACCTCTCCTTCTTACAACTTAATAGGGTCACTTCCAATGTCAAATCACTGAATCAAATCCCGAAAATTAGAGGTGTTTTATTCACTAAGGAGGCTTCTTATACTGCATTCTCAGCAAAGCCCATGATTCCCTCTTCCATATACTCTGTAGTTCTCTACTATGGTCTTGTAAATGTTTTTTTCCTCATTTTCTCTCCAGCAAATATGTGTTTTCCTACTTTGCGGGCATCTGGTTGTAAGGGATGTAATATTCTAAAGGAGCTAGGTTTTGGGGAAAGGGAATTTGGGGAAATGTATTTAAAATCTACTAAACCATTTTTTTGAGAAGAGATGCATATAATTTTATTTCATTGTGTCAAAGCGTTATTTTTATTAAAGCTATTAGTCTTCTATCGTTTCTGTTGTCTGCTATGTGCCAGTTCTGTTGTCAAAGATCAGCAGAGACTAGTAAGAAGATTAAGCTATTTTTTTCGTAGATAAGTTTCATGCCACCGAGTAGCAAAGCTGCTAATTACCACTGAATGTGTGAAGATACTTTTATTTGGTGTAACATGGCCTGGTGTGCATTAATTATGGTACAAGTACCTTACCGCTGAGGCAGAGAATTAGCATGACAAATGATTTAGATTACAGGGCTACTAAAATACCCTCATAATAAGGCTTTAATACTCAGAGTAAATCAAAATTAGTTAGACTTTTATTTTCTGTTGCTAAGAAACTGTGTGAAAAGGTAACTTTGCAGTATAAACGAATATGGACAAGGCTAATATTCCCTTTCAGGTAAAAATTCAGAGATGTTATGTCAACATTAACTGTGCCTGATAACTTTATGAAGACTATATTACCAGCAAAGCTTATATACATAAGCAACTGGTACAATTCTATTGTAATTTTAATAGAGTTCATACAGATGTAGTTAAATCATCTAAGGGAAAATGCATCAGTTATTGGAAAAATGTGATTTACAGATGCAGACATTGAACTACAGATTTTATAACAGCTGTTGAACTTGTTGAACTAATGCTCTATGCTATGTATTAAACTAGTTAAATAACTTGTTAAGATTTTTACTTCAAAATTTCAGATATTTGATATCCTTTATTTTCCTTCAATGCAAATACACATATCTTCTAAAAAATGTATATTCATCTTTATGGGAAATGCATGTGTTTCCTGAAAAGCACAGTTTATTGAATCTATGCAGAAATAATAAACTTTCACCAAATTTCACAATATGAAGTTTTATTTTATTGTTACTATCTCTAATAATATTGTGAGGTATTCCAATTAAATGTGAATGCTTTGCATGATCCAGGCACACAACTGTGCCTTTGTACTGTGTGGCTGGATATATATGTTGAAATATTCTATTTAGAGAAATTTGAATTGAGGTAAATCTGAAAATATCAACAAGAATACTTTATAGCTAATGCAAAATATTTAAATAAATATATAATTATTTGTTGGCATTTTACGTTATGTTTTTCCTTTCCACTTTTTTAACAATATGGAAGTAAGCCAATGCTCTTTCAGCCAGCAGACCTGAGAATATTCTTTCCATGTTTTCAGGGTAGAACTCTTCTCGCTGCTTTCAGGAAAACTGGATGAATGCTAAGAATAAAGTGGAAAAATAAGAGTAATTCCAGTTCCTCAGCAGTCAGTGAAAGCCTGAACATTGATTCAATCAAGACCAAAATTTCCACAATATTACTTAAAGCTCTTAGATATACCTACATTATTCTCTTATATTTTATATATATTTTCATAGATAGTGCAGCATCACAATTGAATCAGTAGTGACTTTATCAGCTTCAGGTAGGAATCAGAGTTACACCAATAATGCCAAAGGCTGCCCTGAATTAACCGAGATTACCTACTAGTAGTGGAACAGAAGTTCCTGGCTCAGTGCAAGAAGCTGTCTTCTGAAATGAAGGTTTTGATCACCAATAACACTATGCTGACGTTACTGTAGTGTCGTGCAATATTCTAATTTTGTGTGCTGGACCACGTGCAATTTCCAAACTGGAAAATATTTTGATCCACTGTTCTTTGCTTCAATATAAATTCATTGGTTTTGTCAATCATAAGAGGTTTTTCATTTTCCTTGTAGTAATCTAGTAATAATTAGGTTAATTTGGCATATCTACTCACCGTATTCTAGGTTGCCCATTTTCTTAGACTGTAGTAGTAAAATATCTAAGTTGATTTTTCATTTTATGTCTTCCTGTAGTTGCATAACAAATGTGCTTCACATCTAAAACCTGAGTGTGACTGTGGACCTTTGAAGGACCATATTTTACCACCCACTTCAATCTGCCCAGTAGTATTGGTGAGTTGTCTGCATGTTTTTTTCAGATGTAATCCTCTGTCATAGGTAATGGCTTAAAATGGTACTGACTGCCAGAGTGAATTTGTTAAATGCACAGAACTATGTGAATTAAACACAATGCATAATCCTGGCTGATGAGTTTATAGGCACAAGTGTGCTTTATTCTCTGCATATTGCATTTTCCTTCGTGTGAGAACGAACTTTCTGTAGGGCATATTAGAACTGAAGCTGACTCAGGTTTTATCACTTACTCAGACTGTACTTACCAGAAACTGTATAGGCAGAGCACTTCTACATTTTACATCTTTTATAGATCCAACTTCCCAGAATAATGAAGTTATTCTTATGGGCAGTTTTTGCTTGGGATGCATATTGTATATCTGCAGTGCTGAGGTCTCTGATCTAAGCCGGAGGTTACCTAGAATGATGACACTGGTCTTGCAGTAAGCTATGCATCAACATTATGGTATATTTTATTCTGCAGTAGTGGTCAGTAAATTTCTCTGTCCGCAAAAACAATAACTCAATTAAATGAAAAAAAAATGCATTCCATGTGTAAGTTGTATAGAGAAAAGCTGTGCAGTTTATAGTAAAAAAAAGGAAAAAAGGGAAAAAAAAGGAAAAAAAAAAAGCTTCAGAATTGACTTCTGTAGTTACATATTAAATTGGATGTTTTATGATGATGAAAATCATAGCATCATCATATTCATAACAGAACAGATGTGTGGTCCTCTTTAAATATATTTCATAATGAGATTAAGAAATTGCTGAACTTATGAAGGAATGATTTATTGCAGGGAGGAAAACCACGAAATTATACCTTCTAATCTTAAGCATGCTTCTGATTATTAATAGTAATATTAATGCCTATTTAAAATTACTTGTTTTCCGATTAATCCTTTTGACTGTTTGTTTATAAATCTGCTAAGGGATGAATGCTAGACTTTGGCCCTCTACTTGAGTAAAGTGAGACTATTCCATTGCTGTCAATGAAGGTAAAGCAATGGAAAGATTCCTTTAATATTTATGAAATATTTTTAAATATTTATGAAAAGTCATAAGAGTAGTTTTGTAGTTTGTCTGTAATAGTATTTAGATATTACCTGGGCATGTTCTGAGTAATAATTGTAAAGTACTAGTTTAAGTTTGTTGGATGATTACATTCTGCATTACTTTATTTAATTTTCAGGATTTTAGGTCATACTTTAAAACTTAACATGTAGAAATTATGATTTTGTTATTGGACTGTTTTCTTTTTATTGTTATTTATTGTTTGCCATTCTTATAAACTGAATAAAGCCTCAGCATGAAATTTCATCTTCAATTACATTTGTGTAACTTCATTTTCTTTTCAGGAGAGGAAGAGGTACAAAGGAATTAAGATTTTCATTCCGCAGTTGGAGTTTAGTTAGGTTGTTTAGAGGATATATAAAACCACTCTAGAGTCAAGTCACCCTTGAATAGATTTGTATTATCTGCAAATTTTGAAGGCATAAACAGAAGTAAATATGTTTTCCTGTATCAGAATCATGTTTCAGTATTACATACTAATAATGTAACATAAAACATGTCTTTCAGCACAATGTATATTGTTAGGAATGGAAAATATATTTTACTGTGATTTAATGGGAACTTTATAATTTTGTTGTATATTTGTTCACCTAGTAGTTTCTTCCAAAAATGCATTAAAATCCTGAGTATACGTATGTTACAAATAATACATCAGTGACCTAGCTAATAGGCATTCCTCCTAGAAATGATTGATTACAATGTACGTATTATTTATCTTAGTAATTTTTTAATTAGTTTCTCCTATTTCCTGTTATGGGGATTCCTTTTGAGAAATGTAGTGTTTCAGTGTACGTGAAACTAGCAGTCTCAATAACGACAGCAAAACCAGTGAATATATCCATGTCAAAGTTGTCTAAAGATACAAGTGTGCATGTCAATAGAAATTATGTGTTCAGACATATCAAATCTGATATACCTGACAGTAGAAGGGTCTTTCACCTAGGACACGCATTTAGCTTCAATGATCAGCTGAGCAATAATATTCTTGCAAAGCTACATATATGTGGAAAGTCAAGAAAAGCAGATAAGCATTTTAGCATGCTTTATGTACTAGTTTTATCCCCGAGTATTTTGAGAAGAACATATCTCCTTCTCTCATACAATAAGTTATAGGAGTTGTAGGAAAACAGCAAGTTGAAAAATCTGGTATCTTTGATCTCCCAAAAGTTTTGGCCCTTCCTTCCATCTGTAACCTTGGAAGCCCAGACTTCTTCCAGCAGACTGTCAGAGTTCATCTCAGACCAAGATGTCTTCTCACAAGTTTTCCTTCAAGAGTACAGGCTAAATCCCTTTTCATCTTTTCTCTTTTGCAGAACAAATGACATTCATATTTTTACCTTTCTCATCCAGCATGTCTCATTTTTTCAGTTCTTGTGAAGTCCAGCCTCCGCTCTTTCTGCAGAGATAAAGAGATTTTTTTCATAAACTGCATTTCACAGCACAATGTATCATTATAGCAGAGCTACTAAACTGGTCTGTCAGTTGCAGTTTGTTGTTCAGGTCCATATCCTCTCAGTTTTTTCCATTTCCTACGTATCCATTGGTGTCCAAAATCACTGCTGCAACTATGAAGAATAAATAAAGAAACTACCCTTCCTGATTGTAATATCACAAAGGGTGACAATTTTCTCCCCCCTAAACATAGCCATCTCAGCTCACGTGACTGTTCTAAATTACTCATTTAGGGTCTCTTTAGACACAAGAGAGGTTCCTCTAAAATAGAGTGACTGGCATGATCCTCTCATGCTGTCCCTTCTTGTAGTGGCTGGAGGGAGAACCTAAATACCTGGTCATCTGAAAGTTAGATGGCTGGTCTAAGTTAAATAAGAGGGCTCCCATCTTCAACACTGCACAAAATGGAACTTGTTAAATGTTATTCCTAAATATGATAAGCCACATTCTCAGCTGAAAAAGAAACCATAGGGAAGCTCACACAGTTGATGCTTTGTATATCCGGAAAGAATCACATGTCTGTCTGGGTTCAATGCCATATAAAGATTTTCCATATCTCGCTGCAATACTTTAAAATATTTTAGTAAAATGTAGTCTGTCAGCTTTAAAACTAGTCCTTTTTACTTTTCTGTTTATCATATATAAGGCTTGTTGTATGGTGAAGTTTGTTGTTCAAGTTAAATGAGTTTTGTTATAAACTGTGTCTGCAGATCTCAAGTGATAGTCTTTTAATAGATGTCAGATACACTTTAATGTTACTCTCTTTTATTTCGGTAACGTTTTAATTAATTCATACTGATTGAATAAATGTACATTGAGACTTGTTTCCTAATGAGGGCACATTTAGAGGAAAGGTTTTGCATCATTCTGATATCCTGTGGGTAATTATATTCTAATTATATGGTGGGGGGGGGAAGTCTATAACTCAGTGCTGATATTGTTCATTGGACCCAATTAATTACATGCACATAATGAAAGTTCATGATAAGGTTGACTGGCAGTGAGTTTAAAAATCTTTAACTCAATTGAATCCTAGCCTACCAAGAGTACAGAATTAGATCATAACCAGGTTAAAAACTGGGTATTGGAATGAGATGGGTGAGCACTGAAGAAAAAAGATTGGTCTCTCTTTATGATACAGCTACTCTCCCCTGCCCCTTTGCAAGGCAGAAAGAGAAAAATGCTAACATACATTTTGGCTTCTTCATTTCATGCCTTCCTTTACTTGGCTTCATTTATTGATGAACACATAGGATATTTGTCTGTAGAAGAGTAATTAGATTTTTCTGTTTCTCACCAAAAATAGATAATACGAAATAATAGATAATACGAAAAGCCTACTATTTAATAAATATATATTTATTTCATAGTCTGTGATGATTTTGATTCTCCTATTGTTTATATGAGTTTTACAAAGAGTTATTTTTTACTTAATTTATAACAATGGTTTTGAAAACTATAATTAAAAATGTTAATCGTGAAATAAAAAGGAAATTATAGAATAAACTGTAAAACATAAGGTACCTTGATTACAGTGTGAGCATTGGTATATGGCAGTTGTCACCATCTCTATAGTAACCAATTTATTTCAGTGGGGGAGGGTCTGGTGTAATATTGAAGACACGTGAAATAAAATTCACAATTTGATATATTTTTTTTGTTCAATTTTAAACTTCATTGTTCAGCATTGAACATTGGTGGTCATGATAAAAAGTTTGGAACAATTCACTTTTTGTTTCTTATGAATGAATTTGGCTTTTCTTTTGTCTAGTGACTTGTGACTTTTTAGAACAAAATAATTTAAGCATAAATTCTATTTATATAAATATAGAATATATATGGAGAGACAATTTGGTATATATAAAATATATATAATTTTTACACATCAAAGATTAAATTTGTTTATATACATCTAATATAAAATACCATATAAGTCAAATTCACTTGAGCGCTTATTTTAAAATATAAGTGGCTATTTATTTTGGTGGAGGAAACATCTGTCTGGTTTGGATTGGGTTTGGGTTGGTTTGGCATTTTGTTGTACAAAACCATAAATGTTCAAAAATCTTTTGTTTATAACTAGTTCTGTATTTAGACACGTAAAACAATATACACAGCAGATTACAAATGTTTTAGCTAAGCAATGGGCCTTGTGCAACTAAACAATATACATTATCTATAGCTTCAAACTTCTGTGTAAATATAGCAAGTGTGTTTAGATGCTGGCAAAAGTAGTACAAAATTAAAGTTGAAAATATTGTACAATAATTTTCTTTGACTATCAGTATTTAGAGAGACTACATAGATGGTGGCTGTGTCATAATCGCAACATAGTTCAATAGATATTTTTCCATCCCTGAAAATGTTTTACTAATACTATTTTCCTGTGAGATGGGTAGATGTTATATAGGAAAGCAGAGATGTAGAGAGAGAAAAAGGGAATTAGCAGTTGCTGGTTGAGGAATGAGCTTTCTTTATCCCTCTTCCAGTTTTTAATCCTAAAATGATTCTTCTATTTTTATTATAGTAGAGATCAGTTTTAACTCAGTTGAATCCAAACTCAGCATGGAGCGCAGAAAATCAGTACGGTGTGTAAGCACCTTTATGAGCAACTCGATCTGTTGACGTTGAGTACTAGCCTTATTCTGAGTTTCCGAACAAAGACACTACAAAAATCCAGTCATTTGAAGATATTCTGTGGGGGATGGAATTTAAATCTGATTGTTGAATATTAGGTATTGACATACCAATTGAAACAGATTTAAAAAACAAAACAAAACACTTTTTTTCCTTTTCAATTGTGTATCATATTGCAGATTCAGTTTTATGAGAATCTAAACCAGACTTGAAATATAATGGTGTGCTTATCTACACTAAGAGCTTTTTCATTTCTTTGAAGTCAGAAGGAAATTAATAATTGCCCTGGAGGAAAATGTATCTTCCTAACTAATTATCTGTTCGGCAAACACAGTTCAATGTTAAAATAATAAGATACTGATAAACTGAAATGGCAGCCATTCAATCATTTAAAGTTATATCTAGTTGCCTGCCCACAACTCATCACTACTGTCTGTCCCTAAGTTTATTCTTTATATCGTCTCTCATTGCAGTTTAACATATTTTTATTTTAAAAATTCTTTTCCAACTCTTTTGTCTTTCGTGGACGATGTATATAATTGCCTGCTATAGCCCAAGTTCATTTTAGGTTGCAAATTAAATTAAAAGTCTTGGGCACTGTTGGTGTACGTTGATGTGTATATTCATAGAATCATAGAATGGTTTGGTTTGGAAGGGACCTTAAAGATCATCTAGTTCCAACCCCCCTGCCATAAGCAGAGACACCTTCCACTAGATCAGGTTGCTCAAAGCCTCATGCAACCTGGCCTTGAACACTTCCAGGGTGCAAGGTGTAAGGCAAGTTATATTCATCCAACTGAATGAACTAAGGCCAACATGCTAAATGAGAAATACTTGACTGTGATTTTGATGTGTAATTCTTTAAGACATATTAATCAATCATTCAGAACAGTCTTGCAGTCAACTATTTTGGAAAGTATTCTCAAATGACATCTGCATTCCAGCCTTGTCTTTTCCCGTGTATTTCAGCTACTGGTATTATGGGTGATAAAATACCTCCTTCTGATTGACGTAATGTGTTTGGTTTTTGTTTTTGTGTTGTTGGGTTTTTTTTAGTTGCAAATGTTTCTGTCAAGACAGCTCTCAGATAAATTAGTTAAGCCTTACCTTTTCTTTATAGTATGGGCATGTGCAGCTCACTAGGCAGTATTTTTGCTACTGAATTGGTCACTAATGTTGTCCACAGGATGATTTTTAGCTTCGGCCCATGGATGTAGAGCTGGGTATTGTGCTATAGCTGTATGAGCTTTCAAGGCAGCATGATGTGGTGACCTAATAGTGGCCCTTCTGATTAGTATGTATACAGGGTTAGATCTGGAAATGTGGAGAAAATTTTATAAAGTAATTTTTCAAAATACTTTAGCACACCTAAATCATAGTTAATTGGATGTGATAGATATTACAGACAGATTGCTCCCCAGAATATTGGCGTAGTGGTGGCGATTTATTTGGGAGTTTTCAGGGTGTCTGAATCTTCGATTCTCTTTGGTTATTGTGTAACTATGGACAGAAATTTCATGGAATGGAATTTTTGTAAGCAAGTTCTTGAATACTACATAAGTTTACAAAATGACAGTCTGGCAGTACCTATTCTAATATTTAATTGCATATTAAAGGAGAATTTTTGCATCCCTTGGGGATTCCCATGTCATTAAACAAACCTTCCTCCAAGTTCCATAAAAAAACCCAAAGCATCAGTTTGGTTTTCAAGTCACATATTTAAACTTCCATGACCTTCATTCTGCAAACATTTGAGGATACCTTTACACGGTATTCTGTGCATCCTGTCTGATCTTCCATGACCAGATTCTCCTAATCAGTATCTTTCATGTTCAAGTTTCAGTGTTCTAAAATAAGATACTTTTTTTTAATAACTGTTTCAATTTATGCATATTAACATACAATTTGGTTCTTTCCTTATGCACTCCAATCCCCAAGTTGGGCTTTAGATGAGGTATATGCCTCATCTGAAGGAATATAGTATAAAAGAAGTAATTATCATACAGAAGTAATCTCACGTTTTCAGTAGTTGCTTGACAAAATGTATAATGGTATTAATCCAGAAAAATAATTTGTACTTATTAACAGACAAGATGAGAAAAAGCCATTTTTGCTGCACTGGCACTGGATTCTGCGTCAGCAGTTAAAATGTAAAGAGGTAACTATTTAGTAAGCCATTAGTTACCTATTAATCTGTTTTCTTATACCAACTATGATAGAGTATGGTGTTTCTAAATGTCAGTGTTTTGTGTAAAGGAAAAAACTGTACCTCTATATAAAGAAAGCAGAAATACTTTTTGAGGATGAATGTTGTGTAATATTTTGAGCTGGTGATAAAATGATCCCAAGCAGAAATACTTTTTGAGGATGAATGTTGTATAGCTTGTCAACTGTAGTAGAATGAAAGCTTTTTAAATAAGATTCCTTGCTTTGGATGAGCATTCAAAGACACATACTTCCCAGAATATAAATTATACAATACAACAGCCAAAACAATGGGGGAGAATGGTTGTACAAATATGTAAAAAAGCGCTTGTGTATGTTTGTTGTTAAGTACAACTGCTGCAAGATAACGTTTTCTCTCCATGCCCCTTGCTGTCCCAGCTGTTCGGTGTTGCAGCCTAACATTTTCTTTTTCCAACAGACGCTACCCACTTTAGGAGGTTTGCTTCCTGAGGTGCGTAACAGGAGGCATCCATGTACGCACGAGTACTAACAGATCATGATATTGTACATTCTACTTGCAATAAAAGTGCATTTTGGGGCTGAACTAAAAATCTAGACATAGTATTCTGTGTTGCCATTTGAAAGACCCTATCTTATTTATAAATTATTTTTTCTTATTTGGATGAATAAAGGATAGATACAATTGAATAGTCCTTACCTGACAGTGATAGCTCTGGAGCAATACTGAATGGTAGGAGCTCCAGTTAATGGATTTTGATTTCAAAATGTGAGTTCAAGGGGAGAAAAGAAGACATGAGAGGTGCAAAAATGAGTGGGAAAAAAAATATTTTGATAAGTACTATTTTGAAAGGTATGTGCTCTGGCACATACCAAAAGAACAGAAAAGCTTGATTCTTTGAGCCATCAAAATGTACAATAGCTTTTAAAATCCTGTAATCAGTATCTCTATCCACCTCATGCATGTCCACTAAACAAAATGGTTCACAGATACATTTATCGTTTTGTATGCTTTAATTAGCAAGATATTAAACACAACACAACTATTGTAGAAACATTTCTTACACTGAAAAATTTTTGCATTTTTAAAACCATGTATTCAATGCATGTCAAATCTGTCTTAACATTGCTAGAATTTGTAGGCTATTATCCACAGGTGATTTTATTAAACTGTTATTATCTCATTAAAAAATATGACACGGTTTAGTTTCTGACACTCTTGGGTAGATTAGTAATGTTATAGTTCCTGAAAATTAGTCATGTACAACTGGACTGGAAGCCAGCTTTCTATTTCATATATAGAACAAAGTATCTGTGCAAGAATATTTAAAAGATTTTTTAAAATAAAATTGTAAATATTTTTGTCTTCCATTCATAGATTTATTCAGTGGAATTATGATACACATTATTTTATTATTTCATACAAAACGAAATAGTGAGGTATTAATACTGGTGAGATCCTCAGTAGTATGACACATATCTAAAAATTATAGGCTATATAACTCTAGGAAATCTAGGATCTCCTATCAGCTTCTTCAGAAATGTTTCAGAGAGCACTAATGGTGCATATGGTGACATGTATTGTGGTACCATATGCATATAAGGTGGGTGATATGAAAAACTTTTTTTGTACTTTCTTCAAAAATTCTCATTAAAGCAGACCTTCAATGATAATGGGGTCAAGTATCCATATGTGATTTTTTAAATAACACTCTAGAGAATTCTGTATCATGAATATAGTTTTTCCTTTATATTGTGTGAGGTGTATTGTCTAATCGTATGGAGTCACTTCTTAGGAGAAACTGTCTCTGTCTGTGAGTCAAGCAATTGTTTTGCTTATGGGACAGGTAATATAAATTGGAGAAGAAATGTTGCTGATGCAGCAGTCGTAGGGCCAGGGCCAGTGGAGGGTATTTGCTGCTATCTGTATTGTGCTGGAACAACAAAAAAAAACCCAACCAATATCCAAAGCGTTGCTTGAGGTAATTGTTACTGCATTTTGCTGGTGAATGATTGATAACAGCAGGTTTGGGCACTGTGGTAAGCATCCTTTATGTAAAGACAGTTCTCAGCAGTGTATAAATACTTTTCCTCTAAGTAATAGCATGATATATGCAAGAAGATTTTCAGTGCAATGCTTTATAAGTAGACCTGTTTTGAACAGTGGTTTGGTTTTGGTTTTTTTTAACCTCTCTAAATGCACATACTCAGTGTGCTGGATTTGTTCCTTTCTGATACCTTTTTCTTTGAATTATCACAAATATGTTGTTTAGTTTAACATTTTTCTAGGCTTGCTCTACATCTCTGATTTTTGTGAGAAATCAGGGTCTTTTACTAGCTGTGACTCTGTATTACTGACATCTGATTTGATTTTGTGAAGAAGTTGCAATGTCCACGAGCCAGATTTGGCCATGATGTAAAATCCTCTTTAACATGGTATGCTTACTTTTTATAAAATGTAGGGACTTTTAAGGGTAGCTATTTGCAAAGTTGTTTAAAACCCCGCATATGTAATGGAGTACAAACTTCCTTCATACTGAGGTTCCTTACTCTGTATCCTTGGCACTAACCAATACCATTGTGCCCTGATGTTTTCTGTTAGCTCATAAATGTTACTCTGTGTGGATGCCTCATCCCATTTTCTAGTTTCTTAAAAACAGTCATATAAGTGCAGAGTTGGTGATCTCTTAGTCAGTGATACAGACAGTGCTTGTGTTTTGAAGGTTAGGGCTGAGATAAATAGCTCTAATTGTTTTTACTGTTTTATTTTTAAAGCAGTGATATTATAGTCTAGACTCTTGGACCTTCTCTTGAACTGATCAAGTTACCCAAAGCATCAACTGATCAAGTAACTCAAGAGCTCAGTTAACTAACCTTAGGAATTTCACTGCATATGGGAGATAGTGTAGACTCCCCTGTTGTTGGAGTTTGTTTGTTTGTTTGTTTGTCTGTCTGTTGTTTGTTGTTTGTTTGTTTGTTTGTTTTTCCTGTGGCATAGCTTTGTCAGTCCTTTTATAGGAAATGTGAGCAGTTTGCCAGAGTTCCCCAAAGTACTTGGCTACCCAAAGTAGCCTGGCATGACTTGTACCACTGTTTGCATCAGGGCTAAATTGAGGCTGCGTCAGTCTTCAAATTTAAGGAAACTAAAAACAGTAATGGTCCACATCTGTGTTAGAAGGCACTGTATCAAGCTGGGAGCTATTCCCTTCCTGACAGAAAATCTGTGTCACTGTTTCTTACCAGTTTTAACTGCTCCAGAAAGAGTGGCATGGATTAATTGCTAGTGCAATCCCTAAGGCTTTATCAGAGGTAGCACAGAGATGGGTTTGGCCTGGTATGGAACGTAAATGGTAACATTTAATGAACTGCTTACTGAGTGCAGTTGCAGGGGGTGCAACAGTGTCCTTCATGCTCCTTTCTAGTGCAGCAGCTTTGTGCCAACACATTCCCCTGGCTAGTTTAAAACCTTCTTGCACTTGTGAAGCGAGAAAAGTGACTGGGGTGCGGTTGGGATTGGGGACACTGATTCCATTTGATAAACATCTGCTGTCTTAATTTATGGTGCATTTTTGGGCAACCTAAAAGGACGGGCTGGGTACACTTTATAAACAGGGTAAATAAGATACAAAAAGCCAAGGACTTTTTTTTTTTTTTTTTAATTCAGAGTTCTCTGAAATGACCTAACAACAGTTGAAAATATGATTACAGCAACATCTGAGCTTTCCTCTTTCAGATCTGATTGTGCTGTTTGTCAGCATCAAAAGTTGCCAGTGGCTTAGAATCTGATGTAGATTATGGTTTCTTTCTGATACAAAATACATATTTTATAAAAAGCCACTCAGCAAATTGATTATGGTACACTTAGAACAGGTATGTTTTGCCAGAGTGGTACAGTACTCTTGAAGCATCCAACCTTTGCTAGCAGTTAGGATGAAATTTTGATAAATTACTGATCTCTTATCAATCTGCTTGTTTGTTACACAATCAAGTGTATTGTATAATTGGCTTTCAAGTTTCAGAATGCTATCCTAGCAATGTCAGATTATCTTTTCACATCATTGCATCAATTTGTGTTGTGATTGCACACTTTTCATCCATCTATTGCCTAGTCATTGTGGAATGTCCAGGCGCATAGATAGATGTTATGTGAAGTGGCCAGACATTGTGTAATAACTTGACTGAGATCTCATTTTCATTAAAGCAGAGTCTGACATTACTCTAGTCAAAAAACAACTTTGTAGAGGCATAATCTCAGTTACAGTTTTATAGCATCATACAATGTGCTAAAATGTTCCATTTTCTCTTTTTTCCCCTTCTTTTTTCAAGGAAAGACAGGCAACAGTGAAAAAAGAGAAGAGTTGCCCCCAGCAAATGAACAAACTGGGAGAACGGAACAAAATGCAAAGAGCAAATTCCGTCACTGTAGATGGACAAGGTCTTCAGGTGTGATTATTGTTATTTTAATTTTAAGGAGATACTTGTAGGTATGAAGACAATGATAGAGTGAGCAATCTTTAAAATGAAATACATCCTATACAGTCACTTATTTACATTTCACTTTTACATATTTAAAAATACAATAGATAAATTCTTCCATCTGTATAGGAATTCTGCAATGCAGATCTGCTTCTCGTGATTGGTGGGATTTCCTAAGACATTAAAGGGGAGGGAAAACTAGCTCTAAAACACTTGTGTTGTGAGGTGAAGCTGAACTCGATTGTTTTAGTACCTGTCACGTAGCATTGTGTGAATTTACATTATAAATCTCAGTCCATGTCTTGATAACTGTTCACTGTGCTCATTGAGACCTGTTAATTAATAGATGGATGGAGTAAACTTCAAGGACGTTATTTGTCCAGGTATTTCCAAGCAGGGTATTTGGCACATCAAAATTAAGAGTGGAGAGAAGCAAGGTGGCTTTAGTAATAGCGATATCTAGAATAAACATTTAAGTATTTTCTTCTTGAAAGAAAAACTTTTGTGTGTGATGAGTTAATGTTATTTTAGGGAGGTTACTTAGAGGCATGCCAGAAGTTCTACCTGAACTGCTTGACTTCTTTCCCTTGAGATATGAATAGTTTTGAGTAAAATCAACATTCATATATATGATGCTGCTTCTTTATGTCCTCAGGAATTAAATCATCATAATCATAGAATCATATAATGGTTAGGATTGGAAGGGGCCTTTAAAGATCATCTAGTTCCAACCCCCCTGCCATGGCAGGGACACCTTCCACTAGACCAGGTTGCTCAAAGCCTCATCCAACCTGGCCTTGAACACTTCCAGGGAGGGGGCATCCACAACTTCCTTGGGCAACCTGTTCCAGTGTCTGACCACCCTCACAGTCAAAAATTTCTTCCTGATGTCTAATCTAAACCTAGCTTCTTCCAGTTTTAAGCTGTTACCCCTCAACTATCTGCCTTTGTAAAAAGTCCCTCCCCAGCCTTCATGCCGGCCCCTTCAGGTACTCAAAGGCAGCTATAATGTCTCCCCAAAGCCTTCTTTTCTCCAGACTAAACAGCCCCAACTCTCTCAGTCTGTCCTCATAGGAGAGGTGCTCCAGCCCTCTAATCATCCTCATGACCCTCCTCTGGACTTGTTCAGCCTAGTCCCTGTCTCTCTTGTGTTGCAGGCTCCAGGATTGGACGCAGTGCTCCAGGTGGGGTCTCACGAGAGTAGAGGGGGAGAATCACCTCCCTCAACCTACTGTCCATGCTGATAATAACATAATAACAGTGTAATCATAATTTAATATACATAGTTGACTGTTCTCTGTATCATTTGTTGTGCTGCAGTTGAGGTTCAGTAAAATATGGAAGATCTCATTACCAGATATCAAATACTGTATATCTCATAATTATTTTGTGATATACCTTATTGTGTCAGGATAGAGAGGCTTATTTTGTTTCATCTTTTTAGGTTAGTGAAACATTCTTGTTATGACAACCCAAAGAAAATGGAAAAAATAAAAAACAAAACCAAAACCCTAAACCCTATGCAGTCACATGACTGCTCCATTGATGGTCTTGTGGAATATTACAGTGATCTTGTGAATATTACAGCTATCTTTCTGTACTTACCATTCTCACAGGCTGCATTGCTATCCAGATCATCTGTGACAGAGCATCGAAAGCAAAAAGGCTAAAATATTCATTCACAGAAAGTTCAAGTTCCTCTAATCAGTTACAGTGTGACTAATAAGCCAGTGCTAAAGGAACTATACCGAGTTTTCTAACTTTTGGGTGATATCCATGCAATTCCAGTGCGCCCAACTGATCTAGATAGAGGAGCATCTTTGGCATCTCCTTTTGGTAGCAGTGCCATATATCATTGTGAATTTTGATTTTACTCCAAGCATTAGGTTACTTTTGATCATAGTATATTTTCAGGTATTTTACTCTTGCGATACAGTACCTGGGGTATAATACCTAGTCATTTCAATGTAGTGAACTCATAGCACCACTGACTCTTGCACACACAACCTTTAATTATTAAAATTTCTGCTTTCAGATAATTAGGAATTAAGAGTTTTTATAAGTTTGTTAGTATGATTCAAAACTTAAGTTCTATCTTCTCTTTCCATGAGGAATCCAAAGCCTGGGATTCATCATTACTTTTATTTATTATCACTTGAGAAGGAGAGAAAGGAAGATGGTAGAATAATTATTGAATAGATTTTATGTGTTTTCTGAAGTGCTTGGTATTACTCTGTGCCACATCTATAATATAGTGCACGATGTAATAATACTGGTAATCATAGTGATAACATTAGAAATAATTCTGCAGTGATGACCCTAATTTGCTGATTATACTGTGGTCTTTGTTTTTCTCTGTTGGATAAAATTGGTTTCAAGTAACAGGATCCATCTTAGCATCAACTATTACATTTTTGATGGGTATCTATAACAATAACCTGATCAGTGTGAAGGCTGAGTGGATCTTGAAGGATACCACAGTGAAAGGCTGGGATCAGTGAGACTGTTAGGGTCTTTTTCACTCACAGATTGCATAATTTTGTAATTATTTCCACAAAGATACAAGATTCTGTAACTGTAATTGGTAATTAATGTTAGTATTTTGACTAAAGACAGTCTGGAGCAAAAAATTTCTTTATCTGATCAAAGTATACTACTCTAATTCTCCTATATCTGGACAAAGCATGCTACTCTGATTCTGCTGGCATGGTCTCATTTTAGCATCTTCAGTGAACAAGAAAATGATTTTTATTACTATATTTGGGACCTTTTTTATTCGGAAAACTTGATCATTATGTTAATTGCATTTGTTTATGATTTACATTCCCAAGGTAACATATCAAAGATACTCAGGAAATCTTCATACTGCTTCTGTTAGACCTCTGTTTTCAATATGGAAGAAAATATATATAATTGGTCCACCACTTTTTTTTTAAAAAAAATCAAAACTTTGAGTCACTTGTCCGGTAGCTTTGTGGAGATTGCCTCTAACTCATGCTAGATTAAAGCTTGAAAATGTTCACCAGTTTAGTCTAAAACTTCGGTTGTATTGTTTATTATGCGGAAAGATCTATGTTATCTAGAAAAGTAATTTGGAAAAGCTATAAGAAATTAATTAAAAGTGACCTTATTTTAGAATTGAGTGAAATGCAAGCTGGTTATTAGGTTTCTTTTTTTAATGGTCCTAAACCTTCTACTTGTAATAATATGTAAGTTTTGAAATAAAATATTTAACATAGAAATAAGTTCATAATTTGGCTTTTGTTAAGAAAAGTATCACCACAAAATCTGCCTTCTATCAGACAGCAGTGAACGGATAACTTAGTGGCAGTGGAGATCTGTATGACTTAAAGACAATTAATCATAGTTAAGCACATTCATCTTACTTCTTTCTAGCTAACCAGCATAATGATCAGGATTATTATTTCTAATTAGAGGAAGTAATAGATCATGTATAACCTTAGGATGAGTCTCATTAATTAACCTGCATCCTAAGGGATTTCAGTAGGTAGTCCATCTCTGTCACAATGAGCACCATTGGTTTACACTTAGTTCACAGAACAAACATCATGGAAATTGGCTAAATAACTAAAATTGATTAAAACAGTAGGTAAAAATTAAATATATGACAAACTTCACTATATCCTGCAATTCGATATACGTTTCAACATACAGCACTTAACTGTAACAACATGCTGTGCCAGAACATGATACTGAGTTGGTTTTATGCTAGGTGTAATTCCACGGAGCTTGGTAGAGTATTCATTATTTGTTGTATATGTTGGGACACATTTGGATCCGTTGTTTGTGATGTTGTGGATGGAGCTGACACACTAGTGCTTAACACTTCCTACTAGAAGAAAAATGCTTTTAGGAAAAGTGCTTTTTAATCCTATAGGATTATATCCCTATGTCCATAGGATGCGTGTAAAGCTTCTTAGCTATCATGTTTCTCAGGTTCTGCCTTAAATTACATTTTATGAAATCTTCAGCTGAAAAGGCTTTGTTATTTCAAGAGTTATGAATAAGGATTTGGAGCAAGAGCTTTCAATTCATCGCTTTGAAACACAGACAGTCTAAGCTTCATCTCTGAAGTTAGTGCATGACTTTGTAGATGTTGACTTTGAACTCTTAATATACTTTTAAACATTCTAGAATTTATATATGTCTAAAAGTGATAATTTTAAATATGACTAGTCTACCTTTATGGTTTAAAAACAGATATTAGAGAGAGATCATGTGATGTAATTTTTTTTGCTCTTCAAATATGTGGAGTAAAGGCAGTGAACATATCTTACAATATCTGAAAATGCAGACTAACGCTATGACTTAGAAGGAAGGTGTTAGTTTGTAAAGCTAAACATTAATGTGAATGTGTAAAACTTTCCATGCACAAAAGAACTACAAAACACAGTAGAAGTCATCGTTTTCTTCAGTATATCCTCCTCTCTGTTCTTTTCCTCAGGCTTTCCTTCTTCCATGTGTTTTCTCCTGTACTTTTTTAAAGTTTTCTACCTTTTTAAGGTGTTTAAAGGAACTCAGTATTGTTGTTAAATTTTAAAAAATGGTTGTTACATTTTAAAAAATGTGTGATTTTGTATCATAGCAAATATTGCAGGTTTGTGTAATTAAAAAAAAAAAAAAAGTCCATCAAGTTTAAAATTTCACATAGCTATATTTGACCTTTATACTGTAGTGGCTTTTCTCACTACAAAATACAGGTTCTACAAAATACAGGTTCTTCATAGCTTTTTCCATAGAAAGTTACTGTCAGAATCAGTCATGCGTTTCTTGCATTTAAAGTTTTCTTCTCTATTGGTGGATGTAACCTAGATATTTATTAATATTTCAATGGAATTATAGGTTAAAGTGGCATTGCAGCTGTAATACAGACAGCTAGCATTAAAAAAATAAAAAGTCACTTGCAAGTTGTGGCAGATTATTGAAGTGAAGATTGTTGCAAATTACGGAATTGCTTCCAGCTGGATTACATAGCATAACATAGAGTTTGCATTAAGCTTTTTGTTTTGTCTGCTATAGGAAAAAATGAATGCAACACACAGCATTAATGAGTGGCTGTGTTATTCCCTTTTTTAGATCACTCCAGTTCCAGGCACTCATCCACTTTTAGTTTTTGTCAATCCTAAAAGTGGTGGGAAACAAGGAGAAAGGTAAGATTTATTTCTCTCTCCCCCCTCCACCCCCTTCTCTATTCTGATCTCTCTGATGTGTTTAAAAATAGATGTTCAGAGTTTGTATATGAAAATAAATCCAACAGTTTATAGTTATACCTCACACTTGAACATCCCATTGTCCTGTGTAGAAGAGGTACACACTAGAATATAGTTATAAATTATGCAGTTAAAAAATAGAATGAGCTCTATACAACAGTTTCGTTTCATACCAGAAAAAGTAGTTGTATTCAGTGTATGGTTTTGTGTGATTTGCATGAAGATGTGAATTGCTACATTTTGCATTGCAACTCTGAAATTATAGCAGCTTTATTTTAATTTCTGTAATAATTATGCAGACAGGCTAATATTTTAAATTGTAAACAGTATTCCATTTTCTAATGTATGACTTGCCTTTCAGAGATTTAGTAAGTAGACTCTTCAGCGTCTCAATAAGATTTCCTACAAAGAAACCTTTTGATTTCTGTAGATAGGAAACATTCTAACAATCCAGTGAAAGTATTAAAGTCTAATCACACAAACTGTAAAGACATGCTTAATTTTCTATATGTCAGTAATTACATTGATTTAAATTAAAAATGCCTAAGTTTCTGTTTAAATGTTCGTGTATCAGAGACATGATAGACTAGAGGTAAGGAGCATTCTCTTCTCATTCTATTAATCAGACTCAGGCAGAAATACTGAATCAGTTACCCCCAAGAAGATTTTTCAGAGTGTATTTCAGAATCACAAACCCTAACAATATGGCCGTTTTTGATCATCACATAAATCCCCGACTTTTTATAGCCTAGCCTACCATGTCAGTGCAGTAATTTATCCTTCAAGTCTTGAAAAAGGTCTTTTGGCCAAGATCAGGCTAAAGATGACACCGGTGGATACTGGGTGATGTGGGTGTCCAAAAGCACAAAAGGAGGGATCTAGTGTGGTTCTAGAGCTCAGCACTGAGCAAGTAACCTGCAAGTCAGTTTTCCCTACCTCTTCCCCACTGCCTCTGTTACATCACATCTTTCAAACCATGTCCCTTAAAGGAAACTGCCAAAAGGGACTGCAGAACAGATGTTAGGGGAGTTCTCAGAGCTGAGGAATGTTTAACCAAAACTGCACTCAAAGACCTCTGAGAGAACAAGTTACTATTTAGGAGCTGATTGTGTAATCCCTGGACTGGTATACCTAGATATCAGTGATGCTAACAATACTAGTTGTGTCAAAGGCAGTTAATGATCTAAAAGGTTTATTCTAACAGTTTCAAGAACATACCTTTGCAGTCACAACAAAAGAACATGAGATGTCCTTCATATTTCACTCATAGTAGCGTGGGTAGCCCTGGTCTTCTGTGCAGTCAGGAGCATTGTGGAAAGTAATGCACTAGCACTCAGCTTGACTTTTTTTTATAGTACTGTTATGAATTGAGTAGATCAGGGATCCAGTCTAGAATTATGTAGGTGAGAGGCCGGTTAGAGGGCTGCACTTACATAGTTAGTTATAACCTAGAAACAATTTAATGAATTGCTGTTTCACAGCTTTCAGTTCCCGGCTCATAATTGGTCTCAAGTGTTGCTATCTGAATGGGCTTAATGCATGAAGGATGTCATTTAATGTTAGAAATTCTCCAGGGTAAAAACAAGTCTAAGACCCGATCCCCTTCTCCGGCTCCTCTACCCATTCACATATTGCAGTCTGACACCTCTCAGTTTATGTTAATGCAACTGTTACTGAGACCAGGCAGATCACAGGAATTATTTTAATTTAAAAAATGAATGCCTGATACACGCTTCATTCAGTAACGTCGTTATCTACAAGTATCATTGCACAACAAAGTTTATAGCATGAGGGCAGCCACCAGCAGCTGAGTATAGTGAAGTATGAGAACCTCTTAAATTGACTTTGATATCGCCCAAAATAAAATGTAAAATTGCATACTAATGCATCAAGGTTGTGCTCAATACTTCTGTGCTAGGAGGAGCACATCAAAAGGTCAACTACATAGTCATGTAAATGTATCTCAGGTCATTCACCAGCAGGAAATAATATCTCATGGTTGGTTCTAAAACTAGATTCTGAAAGGTTAAAAAAAGTCTTCGTATGGACTATTTGATAAGAAGGGATTTGCCCTCAGCCTTTTAGGTGTTACTGTTTCATATCAATACTGGTAACATAATAAAATTATGACATAAGGATGTTAAGAGTCCATATTATCTTGAAAATTTAATCTAAGGGATGACAACATTTTCAGGGAACAATAATATTTAACTTTTTTACTTTTCCTGTTTTTTATCTGTCTGCTCTACATTCAGTAACCAGAAAGAGAAGAATCCCGTGTTCCCCCCCGCCCTCCAATTTTGTAGCAAATAAGTGTTGTGGAGAGGACATTTGAAGATGTAAATAGCTTTGCAAAATGCACAGTTATGGTTATTCAAGTCAGGATTTTTGATTATAACTATTTTGTAATCTGGTCAGGTATTGAGGGGCTAGGAGTAGAGGATAGGTTGTAACAAAAATAAGATTTCCACAGCAGTGAGGGACAAAAAAACCAAAGCCACAGCCTACTAATTTTTTTAGATGAGAATTTAATTATCTTGACTCATTCAGGTTAAGGCCATCTTTTACTGAAAGTTATTTGTGAGTCTTTACTTAGAATTTTCTCTATTTGGGAGATCAGAATGAATGAAGTTATGATTTCTAATTGACTTTCATTGAACACAGAAAGGTTATTGCGGATACTGTCAAGACTTCAGTGTTCCCACAGTTCTCTGTATGAGATTTTATGTCATGCCATATGGTATCCCAGCCCATTTCATTGCCCTTAGACTTGGAGAGAGTGTATGCATCCATCTGACAACCAGTTGAATAAATGCCCTCCCCCAATAATACTCTGTCATTTCCTTTTGTATTTTGTAATTTTTTTCAAATCTCTCGAATGCAAAGGAAAAGAACTGAAAATAACTGTAAGATAAAGAGAGTTAGGTGCTTTAGTTTTGCTTTTTGAATGTGGAATAGAGAGGTGGTGGGAAACAAATGGATGTGTGGATATCTGCATTCAGAACACAAAAAAAACTTTCTCTTATTGATTAGTTTTAAAACTTTGATTCTGTTAGAAAACCAGAGTTCTGAAAAATGCATAGTGATAAATATAATGTTTTTCTTGAATAGGTTTATTTTTTTTAAAAAACAATACTATGACTTTCAGATATAATTGCAAAATAAGAACTATGAAAATAACTCAGTTATATTTTCTTCTTAATGGAAGATTAATACTTATTGCCCATCACCTGAAACACAAATGCATTTACAGTTACTCGGACTTAAATGATTTAGTCCAATGGATAATACATGTGTTTATAATAAAATAGAGTGAAAATATAATTCAATGTTTATTAAGAAAAAAGTAACAAATTAGAATTAAAGTTGATGAGTTTAAGCTTTTTGCACACCAAAAATAGATTTAAATTAGACATGAGACTGGATAGGAGTTCATCAAACCCAGTCAAGTGTCTTCCTCAGACTATATCATACTGTAACATGTTTACAGTGATTGTGCATAAAATGGACAGATGTGATTAATTTAATCAGAAAAAAAAAATGCAGTATGTCCATTTCATCGTAGATCTGACAGTCCTGTATGTATGCATTTAAGATCTGACTATTCAAGACGACGACTTTCAATAATCTGTGAATAGAATGTATGTGTTGAGCACATCATTGACAAAATAGTTTCTTTCAACAGAAAGAATATACAACAAGCATGTAGTGCTTCCTAAATAGTGTTGTTAAGGGTAACACTTCTCACATAAGAGTCCTTCTAAATCATGGTGTTGTTTTGCCATACTCGTTACTTTGTTTTTCACTTCCCCACTTTCCAATTTATTTGCCTGAGCAGCAGGTGAGTTTAAACAATTGTTTCCTTGACAAATGTGCGGTTGG